TTGAGAGCCTCTCCTGCACCGTAGCGTTCACCGGCGGCCATGGCAAAGGTCATGGGTGGGGCCCCAGGGGGGTTGGCAATATGGGGGGCTGGCCTGGCAACAATTGCGGCACTGCTGAGCCAGGCTTTTGTGCCTTTGGTCGGTTGCCAACCGCAAATATGTTCCGTTCTCGTTCCCATTTTCATTCTTTATTCCCATTCCCAGCGGTTGTTTTATTTTCGCATTCTGCATTTGCTGCCATTGCAAAGTCAACTAATTGAATGTGCTAAACTCACCCACACAAGCAAAAATATCGCGTTATATGGCGCATTAAGCGCTCATTTCACGATTTCTTTCCTGACCCTGATGAGTCCTTCTCCAGGACCCTCTAAATCCACTGAATACGCTCTCCACGGAAAGAAAATTAAATTAATTAATAAAAATAATTAAGAAAAAAAGTATTAAATCATACTACAAAATATACAGACTTGTTATACTTCATTATTGAATTGCGCATTATTAATAAAAATATTTAATTAGATTCAATTATATTGAATTTAATGTTAAAAAACCAAGAAAAGAATAAAAAAAGATTTTTTTGATGGTATTTCTAGGACTGAGCGTAGAAAATTATAATCAAAAGTCATCGGGCTACACTTATAAAAATTAATTTCTAAATTTTAGAAATCTCGGCCTACCTTTGAAAATAGAAAAAAAGGTCTTGTTATTAGAAAATTTGCCTTTGAATATAGAAAACCTTTCTAGATGAAGAAAATTCAAGAAAAAATGTTCTAGATTTTAAGGAAACTCTTAAATTTTTTTTTATTAGTGTAGTTAGTTTATTAAGTTTAATATATTATCATGCTAATATTTTGTTAAATAGTAACAAAAATTTAAATGCCTAGAAATTTGAATGTTTTGATATATAAATATCGATTATTCTTAGAGTAAATCTAAATTATATATTATGGGAATATGAAGGATATAGTAAAATTTTGTTCTGTGTGTGGGTGGATTCCCCACCATGATGATGAAGTTGATGACGATTCCTCCATTTCTCGCTGCATTTGTATGGGTAATTACACTGGTGTGTGTGAGTAAGGGACGTCTGCTGGATGTCCATGACCATGGGGTGGAATGCTGCTCGCAATTTTTTTCTATATACACAGTTTTTAGCATTTTTTTCCACAATTTCAGCAGTCTGTCTCTGTCGCTCCCATGGCAGTCGCTCACCCTGCCCGATTTTTTTTGGTCTCATTTTTTTCTCATTTGTTTTTTACGTTTTACTTGCGTCGGAAACCGCCATTTTTTATGCGCGCTAACTACGCCGCCCTCTCTATTCCTCTCTCCCTCCCACCACCACCACACCCTCGCTTCCCCTCTCTGTCGCACCCTCTAAGTGTAAGGGAGGCGCACCCTCACAACGGAAATTTGCGCATTAGAAAAAAATGTGGGCTGTCTTTTAAGGTAGTTGTATGCGTGGCATACAAAATGGAATTTTTCAGTTTCTTTTTAAATTAATCGTATTTTTGTATATTTAGTAATTAGTAAGAAAAAAACTTATTCGTCAAAATATATTACTTTTTAATATTCACACAGAAATTATCACAATATGCAAACAAAATCATGTAATGCAATTGTAACATTTAATTTACAGAAAGTGGGTAATAGAAAAAAGTTAAAAATTGCCATCAAATAAAGTAGTTTAAAAACTAATTAAAAACTGTAGCTTAACTATAGTAGAATAAAACATTTTTAACAAGATATCCCTGTTACTATATTTATTTCCAAGCTGACAGTTTATCAAGGCAAATCACTTAAATTATTACGGATCTTTTTTTTTAAATAAAGAGGGAAAAACAGAAAAGGTTATTTCAGTAATTTATTCCTATTGTAGAGGGTTTTCATGTTTTTACGTCCTTTTTTTGTTAAATGTAATATATTAGATTACAATGGAAGAACAAATGACAAAACTTCTTTTCGTTTTAGCTTTTTTTTTAAATTTTTACAATAATAAAATATTATTTTCTTCCTTTTCTTAAAAATGTTTAAAATAAGGCGCCATCGAATCTTCCTCTTCCGTTAATGTAGGGGAGTGTAGGGTAATTTGACGAGTAGGGTAATGTGACGAACTCGTCGAATCTCATATATGACGTCACGACAAAAATTCCAAATAAATGTAGTCGTCTCTCCTTATCGTGTCGACAATGTATTTACAGTAATATTAATAAGAAGTCCCGTAATTTGTTCGTGAGGTAATTTTCGCTAAAAATGTGGTGCACAAACTAGCAAGCCTATTCAATTTACTTGTGTTTCAGCAGTACCAGAGCAAAGATGAGTGGAAAATAAAATCAGGCAAATATATATATATATATATATATATATATATATTACATTAAAGAACAAATCGTTCGTCACATTACCCTACAACTTTTGGAAGTGCAAAAAAAGAAGGGTTCACGCCAAACGCTGTGGCACTTGGCTGCATTGGAATTTCGAATCCGAATTTTACAGGGATATGCTCAGTAGATGTAAGCAACTTTCTGCGTTTACACTTTTGAAAAATATTGATTTTTAGAAAAATTACATTCAAAAAACGAATCGTTCGTCACCTTACCCTACACTCCCCTACTAAAATTTGCGGATGTGGTGTATGTCCCGGCTAGCGGTTCCCTGCTATAAAATGTGTCTCGGCTATTAGTATACGATATCTCCGCTTCGTAAGCGGTTGTATAATTTGCTACGATTGTGTATCAGATAAGCCTGTTTGGATCCAGTATATTTTATTTAACTGCTCCCACGGTATTTTTTTGCAACCAAGTTACAGTTACACTACGAAAGCTACCTGATTGAGCGAATTCCACTCCAATTTTCACTCAACTTCGTGCGCACTGTTAACTCTTCCCACTCAATTTCTTGCGCACTGTGAACGGCCATACGAAAACCACTCAATGCAACAGACTCAAACCACTCAAAATGTTAGCGCTTAACAGACTTAACAAAAGATTTGAGAAAGACTTGAAACTAAAAGTAAAAGCATTTTGTTTGTTTTATGAAAAATTTAAAACAGCTAAACAAAAATACAAACACAAATATAGAAACCCCAAGAGCAAAATAATTAATATAAAGTAAATCCTAAAATAAGCAATGAAAAAAAACAATTTATTATCGTAATATCCAGACATTTTGAAATAAAATTCAAGAAAATATTTCTAAATATTTATTAAATTTATTAAATATTGTTTTATTGGCCTGTATTTTCATCCATCTTTAAAAGAAACTCGCCTCAAGAAGGGCAGTGTTCCCACAGAAAACATTGGTAAATAATAGTTAGTAACTGCCTTGTACTTAAGGCTAGCCATGCATATTATTTGTAAAACTAGAATAATTGTTTATTAGTATGTACATTATATTTTTTTAAAACCTCACACTAAATTACTGATTAAGAAATGGGTGGGGTCTTGCAAAAAAATGCATTTTTTTTATATTTTTTTTAACTCATTAACGCTTAAAGACTATACAAGAAAAGTTTTAAACCTATCGTTTTCAATCTTGTCGCATATTTTTCTGCATAAAACAAACCCGCCACCTGGGAAGAGTTCTTTTTTATTTTTTAGCTTTAAGTATTTTTTATCAAATCAAAAAGTTGAATTTTTTAGCTGAAAAACGCATTTTTGACTTTGGAAGATCAAACAAAATTCTTAAAAATAGAAAAATAAAAAACGGTCTTCCCAAGGGGCGGGGATTTTTAATTCTTAAGCGAAATGTAAAAACAAAATGGAAATCCGATCATTTTTAGCGGAGGTACAGTGAACACCGCAAAACGCCTTTTTTTAATAGTGTTCTAGCAATCGCTTTGCCACCGAAATATAAGCCGATAGTAACGGCTAAAAATATTAGTGAATGTTATTTAAACGACACTTAATAATATACAAAAGCTTTGAACTAAATCCACCCAACCAGTTTTTATAGAAAAAATCGCAAAGTTCGTTAATTTTTAATGCCAAAGACCCCGTCCCCTAATTGTAAATATAAATCCCGCTACCGAAGTATTTTGAGTTTCCCTACACAGAGAAAATTAATCAAGTAAAATTACGTTATATTATTTGTTACTTAATTTGAGATTGTACAGATTTTGAGTACAAACTTCATTTTGTTCCCCTTTTTGGAAAAAATGATCTATAAAGACTCACTTTCAGCATATATTTTTTTGTATTTATGTACTTGGTTATATTTTGAGTACAAAAATTCTAAATTGAGTCAAATGTTCATTCTCTCTGTGTATTATTAATATTTAGTGGCATGGGTTAAGTACCGGGGTATAACATAGTCGGACACTCGACTATAGCTTTGTTTGAATATGTATTAATTTTATTTTTTTTTTATTTGTTTAAACTAGAATTTGAGCCATTGCATAAAAATGAATTTAGTTATTTTCAAGAGGAAATATGCAGTGTAATAGGGTGCCATATAAGAATTGGGCTATTAAAAGTAGACCCTAAATGCCAGAGTACAATTGCTGCCATTAAAAGCAAAGTAATAGAAATTACTGGCGCTGTAATTGGAAAATTACTAAGTCCCGCGGCCGCGCCTCGAGGTTTCTACCTCGCCAATTGCGATTGCCCCTAGGGGCGTCACCGATGTAAAACACGAACATCTACAGAATAATATTAATTAATATTAATTTACATTTGGCGCAAATAAACCTTACTTTTTTTCCAAGTTCAATTTTTTCCCGCCAAAAACGGCGTAGCCAGATGTGTAGAGATGTAGAGGTGGAACATTGAGCGTCAAAACATCGGTATCAAAACATCTCAAGTGTTTCTCCCACTAATTACAGTGAAATTTCATTTATTTTGTCAGTTTTCACGATTATTTTCGAATATTACTTAAAATGGTTCTTAATTGTACTTAAAATGGTACTTTCCACACCAGTATAGTTAATTAGGGAAACACCGATGTTTTCATCGATACTTTGCCCAGCTCTAAAGTGCCGCTGTTCCTCCCTTGTAAAATTAACGAAACAACGAAACTAATTAAAAGATTCTGCGTTCAAAACAATAACAACATTGTTGCGATTTCGTTGGGGGCGTGGCCGCAACAACACCGCTCCAGTGCAACAACAACGCAGCACGCGGAGAGCAGAAGAAGAAGAGCGGGAGCAGGAAAATCCAGGGAAATCCCAGAAAAATCAAAAAATGAAGAGCAACGTTAATCAGGGCGGTTACGCTCCGCCCGGATTTGGATCCGGATTCCAGCCAAATGCTCCGCCCGCCGAGCCAGCGGGATTTGGATATCCTCCCCCGCCGACGAGTGGCATCCACACGGCCCCCTATCCCCCGGCCCCCGGTCAACAGCAACCGCCGCCGCCCATGAATTACGTGAGTTCCAAAAATGTCCCTTCTTTTTGGGCGTCGGAAAAGGGGGGTTGGTAGGGGGTTGTAGGGGGTTTCTCTTGTTCAAACACACGATAACACTGACGTCATGCCAGTTGGTATTTGCTTATTTATAAACCATAATCACACAGTCCGTTTGCTGTGAACTCAAAAGAGATTCATTCGATTTGCACGCGAATCCGTGGAATCAGCGGGTAGATAAATAAAAACAACTGCTTTTTTTGTCCCCTTAAACAACTGTGTACAATGTTTTTAAAACCAGTAATGCCGACTGGATAAACAAGTCGAAACGAATGAGTTTACCAAATAAATTTGCTTTGGCTAAGAGAAAATGTAATTTTTAATACCTATTATACTCTTAATATAAATGGTAATTTTTTATCTTCAGTATTGTAAAGGAAATATATTAGTCATCAGCATTGACTTATATGTGGTCATTTCCGCCTGATCATTCTTTTATCATCACAAATTACAAAACTCTATAAAAATACAAAATAAACTCATTTGTTATTAAATATTTACAATACTTTTTATAAATATTACCAACAAAATAATATATTACATATTGGTTTTAACACTTTAACTTTTAATTTAAAGCGATTATTCTCTAAGTCCCAACTCGAGTCGTAAAAAAATATAGCGCAAATACTTCACTGCTAAAAAAGTAGCATATAGCATATAGCATAAAATTACATTTCCATTCATAAGCTGATTTTTAACTTCAATTTAAAATTGTTCTTTCGTTGTATGAATAACATCAAATATTTTATTTTATGTTTGTATTTAGTTAAAATATTGTATTCAATATGCGTCATTTGTCTTTTATCAGTTTTGTGAGTATATTGTATTCAATAAGCATAATTGATCTTTTATCAGTTTTGTAAGAATTTCATGTATGAAATCCTAGGGGCATATAAATACATAGGGGTCTTGCAAACATAAATGTATGTTGCTCTTTCTGAGACGCTAAAGGCCTCTTGGGAGCTCAAGTGGTGATAAGTTGCGATTAGGTTCCACGCCCGAGAATTGAACACTTACCACAACGCCCCTCAATAAACAACGCCTCTGATTCGTCATTCGTCGTTCGACTCTCGATCGTTGCAGGGCTTTTCGCCAGGTCCCCAGCAAGCCGGTTACGCGCCAGTTCCCCAGATGCCGCCCTACGGAGAGACCCCGCCCTATGGAGCCGGACAACCACCTTATGTGGGTGGTGGAGGTGGTCAGCCACCTTATGGAGGTGGTCAACCCCCTTATGGAGGTGGCGGTGGCGGAGGACCACCGCCCCAGGCCTTTGGAGGATATCCCCCGGGACCGGCAGGACCAGGAGGACCTCCACAGGCATTCGGAGGATATCCGCCGGGACCGGCGGGTCCAGGACATGCATTCGGCGGATATCCACCGGGACAGCCCCAACAGCCCATTATCACGCAGCCGGGAATGGGTCCCGGAATGGGCCCGGGAATGCCCCCTGCTCAAGGCGGACCAGCAGGCAAGTAATCAAAACAATGGTTGCCTACAACCGAACTTGTAACACCTAGAATTAAATTTATATACTTTAAATAGCACTTATGAGTGTTCTATGTGATAAGCTGTGGGAAACAAGAAATATTATATTTCTTTCATAAGTTCAGATAAGAAAATTTCCAATCAACAGCTATAGTAAAATAGAAACACTTACATTTTTTAGATTTCATGATAAATTCTGTGAAGTACAGACATTCTTTGATAGATCGAGGTGGTTGTACTTTGTATTGTTATACTTTTTAAGTAAAAGAGCATATTGCTTTCGTTAAGAGGCAAGTAACAGATAGAGGAAAGCGGTTCTGACCCTAAAAAATATATATATATATTTGATCAGTATCACTGTCCGTATAAATATATAGATCTCGGAAATTATACAAGCCAGAAAGTTGTGATTTTGTATTTATTTTATATTTATTATACACCTATATCTATATTTTATTTTAATCAAATCGGACCATTAGTTAATAAGCTATGATCAATTAAAGTCACTGCTTGTAGATAGCAAGAATAGGTCAGTGATGTTACTGACAGTAGATAAAAAGGTACACATAGTACCATTAACAGGCGAACATCGATAAACATAGATTTTGCTTCACCTTCAGTTAAATGTATATTTATTTTAAAATTCGTTAAGAGATTAATATAATTAATTAAACTATTATTTATTGTACCTTTTAAAAAGGTTTGACTTATGCATAACATCTCTTTCAATCGAAAAGGCATAGACATTTTGCATTGAGACATGGCGTCAAGAATTAAAGTTTGATTTTTCTATGTACTTTCCAAGATTCGAGATAAAACAAATAAATAAAATAATAATAAATTTATTCTAAGAAGTAGTTTTTAGGGCACTAGGTTTTCACAGGTTCTCGTTTCCTGGTTTTTAATACTCTGTCTTAATTGATTTTCATGCTTTTCATATAATCTTACTACGTAAGCCAGTGAATCAAAACAAAAGCGCATCTTTGTGTGCTCCGTGTGTCATTGCCCTGGGATTGAGATAATGTCCAATCAGTTGTCTTAAGACTTCTCAGGGTGCAGCCACTGAACCCATCATCCCAGATAGATATAGGTAGCTCTAGCTCGCCTAGATCGGTGGAGAACAAAGGGTGCCCAAATGCAAAGTGGGGTGCAAACATTTACGTAGTCACTTTGAAGAGTGTTAGAGACTTTGAGGTTTTTTGGACCGACTGAGCTATTATCTGTGTTTTTGTTTACACGTGCGACGGATCCGTCCGAAATGTTTAGAAAACCCTGCCAGATCTTTGGCGCTTATCGGAAAGCGGAGCGTCTGCCTTAATTGAGCCAATAAAATAATACAAAGCGGCATTTAAAACGCCCGTCGTCGCCATGGATGGCGTTGATTTTTCCCCGACGACCAGTTAGTTCATCTCTGTGCAGCAGAGCAGTTGGTCGTGTCGTGTCTAGAAAATGTCCACCGAAAACCCAGCCACTTGCATTTCCACGCTGGACCTCAGTGGCGAAAGTAGAGGAAACTCGGAGGAATCCCATGGGGGCCGAGGTGTGAGGAGCGGCTCGAAGGTGCTGCGCTTCCTGTGGCACTCACTATACACCCAGTACAACCAGATCTGCACCAGATCCCAGACTCTGAGGCAACTGGTCTGCCGGGAGGCCAACAAGCCGCTGCCCAAGAAACTCAGACACACCATGAGGCTAAATAAATCGGCTAAACGAAAGGGCTACGAGTTCTACATTAGCGACGAGGACAAAAGGTGAGAAGGTCATGGGATTGACTATAAAGACTGGCTTAAAAAGATTACCTACAAAATTATCTATGGTACAACAAGTAACGAAATACTCTTTAAAAAATATTAGACTATTAAAAAGTCCGAAAAATATTAATGTGGGTTTAAGAAAATAGTTTTATCACCTTTACGATCATTCTATAGTTTATCCTAAAAATTTATAAAAAATTCACAGCGTTTTAAACTGCCTTTATTCATGTTTTAAAATTTAAGCTAGTACTAAATAGTGGTCATTTCAAGAAATAATGGCCTATTAATTATAGAAACTGTCTGCTTGGAATAGTCCTTATAATTTCATCATAATTTCTAAGTGATCTCTTCTTAAAACTCCGACAAAAATATATAAAGAGTAAAAAATCTAAGATTTCTTTTAAAATTTATCTCCATTCCTTTATTATCGTTATCCCAATACTTATTTTTTGTACTTGGGTGCAAAAAACTTAACTGCAATCTACCTTTAACTAAAAATATCCCAATTATGTAAATCCTCTCAAGGTTTCCTTACATTGTGAAATTAAATATTTATTGAGGCGTTTATTTTTAGAGCCCGTGATAAAGTAAATCTTAATAGCGCAGATTAGATACAAGATACAATAGCCGTGATGCATGAACTAGCATAATAGATTGCGTACGGGGGGTTATCTATGGGATGTTCATAAGGGGGGTCTGTTCCATTGTGATGCCTCCAATTAGGAAGGCCGAGCAATTGTGTCGGTGACATTGACCAATTGACACACTGGCAACTGAATGAGCTGAACAAGATGCCCTTTTATGTGGACTAATTCAATTTACCAGCCAAGATTATAAGAAGTTCATTCCAATATAAGTTCATTTAAAGTTGTATTTTTAGAAGCACTTTATTTATAGTTATTATTTAAATGGGATTTTATTTAATTTTATTTATAAGACATTGCCCATAAATTTTAGATATAATTTTAATAATTGATCTCGTTTCAGGAGACTGGATGAGTATACCTACCGGAATTCCGAACTGTCCGCGCGGATTGGAGTACCTTACGACTATCGACCAGCTTTTAGTTAAGCAGAAGGTCGAGCTCCTCGAGGCCTTCACCGGTTTCGAGACCAATAACAAGTTTACGATCAAGAACGCCCTGGGTCAGAAGGTCTATTTCGCGGCGGAGGACAACGACTGCTGCACGCGCAATTGCTGCGGACCCTCGCGTCCCTTCGACATGCGGGTCTTCGACAACTTCCAGCAGGAGGTGATCCACATGCACCGTCCGCTGGCCTGCTCCTCGTGTCTGTTCCCCTGCTGTCTGCAGAGCATCGAAGTGTCGGCGCCACCGGGCAATGTCATCGGCACCATCGAGCAGGAGTGGTCCATCTGCTCGCCCTCCTTCCGAATCCTCAACCACCTGGGCGACACGGTGATGCGCATCGAAGGACCCTTCTGCACCTTTTCGCTCTGCGGCGACGTGGAGTTCAATGTACGTTTGGGAAAGCTCCTAAAGAATTATATTTAAATAATAATATTAATTGTTTTTCAGGTTGTATCGCTCACGGGCGAGAAGGTCGGCAAAATTTCGAAGCAGTGGTCGGGTCTGGCAAGAGAAATTTTCACGGACGCCGACTTCTTCGGCATCAGTTTTCCATTGGACTTGGATGTGCGCATGAAGGCCGTTCTCCTGGGCGCCACCTTCCTGATTGTAAGTGCTTCGTTTTCGTTAAGTTTTGCACAGTAACCCATAGTTGGCTCCTGCCAATCAGTTGTATAGTGTTCATTTCTATCGGTTCAAGCTGTTGAGACGTCTGCAGCGCAGATTTCGTTGGTGCTGAGGTAATTTAAATCCCCCAGCCCATCAAATCCTCCAGCTTAGTTTGAGTAGGCTAGCCCGGCATAAGGTCCTTAATCCTTAAAACTTATCCCAACTGATTGTGTGCTTTTTCTTCACCCACAGGATGCCATGTTCTTTGAGAAGTCCGGAAACCAGGAAACCGACAGACCCGGCATGCTATAGGAATCAGGCGGTGGCTTGTTCTGCGATTGTTTATGCGAGGCGGCCGATTGTTGTACTGACTGCAATTGCGACGATTAAATGTTGTACATTATTTTGAGTTGCCGCCTTATCCAAATATCTTCCCTGTGAACTGTCGCGTACTAGTCTTCTGTACCAAATGCTTATTGATGAAAACGGAATTGTAGTAAAGGAACCCCCTGTGAAACAAACTGAATATGAAACCCCTTAAACTCAGGCTTCCTTCGAGAGGACATTGCCAGGATATGAAGTTAACTTTAAGTTATGAAGCATTTTTTGATATTTCGCCTCATCAACGACTTGTATTCAACGACAAATCTGCTTCATTCATGAATTTATAACAATGCACACTGAAGCAAAAACTAACTAACGAACTAATCGTTACTAAACCATGTACTTTAAACTGTATTTTTGAGTGTCTTATGTATAGAAAGATATAAATACCAATGTTTATTGTTAAGCTGTCAGGAAATTTATATATACCCCTACCGATATTGCAGAAGAAAGTTTTGTTTCCTCTTTATGTATTATTATAATGGTTAAATAAATCATAAACAAAAATGTATTTGCTTTTAAAAGTGTATTTTTGATTATAATGCACTAATGATAAATTTTTCACAGTCCAAAAAGATTTCAGAAACATAAAGTCCTTTGACTGCAACTTCATTAGAAATTGTACAACTTTTTTGTGTTTCACATACATTGCAAGATTTTTAAACAGATCAAAATAAACTGCAAACAAAAATTGATCAATGGACTGCCTGAGCAGCTTGGATAGTGTCTTAGTCAATCAGCAAGTCGATTTCCAGGAGGTTGTGATCGGCTTCAGTAGGAACAGAAGGTACTTCGTTCGCGCCGCTCTTAAGACAGATCCGATCCTAACCGCCGTGCAGGATAACAAGTTTGTCGATCGCGTTACCAAGCCAAATTATATGTTTACACTACGGGTCATGAACCCATCAAGTACTCAAGTAATGCACATTGACCGTATCAAACCGGACGCCTACTTCAAGCAGCCGAGAGTGGAGGTCCTCGCACCACCCGGCAACCTGATCGGCGTCATCAAGTTGCACAGCTTCGCCTGTCCGCGCACTCTGCACGTCATGAACACCAAGGATCAGTTGGAGTACGTCATCAATAACAGCAACGACTGTTGCGGAGGCTTTGAGGCTAAGTTCGTTGTAGGTTTCCCGATATTTATATTTTATTATTATATATTTATAATATTTCTTTCATTCTAAACCATTTGAAAATCCTATTTTGCAGGTAACTGATGTTCATAAAAAAGAAATAGCTCTTATTGAAAAGTTGTTTGGAGGAGTTATTAAAGAAATCTATACGGACTCCGACAATTATAAAGTCAATTTTAAGGGTTTGGATACTCGCACCAAGGCGCTTTTACTGGCCAGCGTCTTTTTCATTGTGAGTGAGGTGTATAAGTCATTAGTGTATTAAAATCTATAAGTACTTTCACTTACAGGACGGCTTATTCTTTGAAACAACAGCAGTACGTAAATTTCTCATCTGACTGTGGGTCTATCTTTCAAACTTATGCAGTGCGGATAAAATGACTTCAATTTATCACGTCATTCATTATTCTACTACATTTCAAAGCAGTTTTACTGTAAAACTTTTACATACTATAACGATCTGATTATATTTTAACAAACTTAGGTACAATAAATTGTGAATGATTAATTAATTAGGACTTAACATCTTATGATAACTAAAATAAAGTGGCTTTATAGAAACTTTAAATTGATACAGTTAAATTATAACTTTACATTTTTATAAGTTGTTAATACTTAAAGCACCGAAAAATTTAAAATGTTTTGGTGTTTAGGATACATGATTAGTAACCTTTGATGGAAATTTCAAAATAGTTTTCGTGCTCAGATTTAATTTATTCAATATCTAACCCTTTTTACATAATTTAAATACATAAGTATTAAATAAAAAAGCTTGTGAGTCCAAGAACACACATTTTTGCGATGGAGACCCTGGGACTGGACTGTTTGGTTCACTTAGATAGTATTATGATTTATCAGAAAGTTGACTATCTGGAGGTTTTCGTAGGATTTAGTAGTAACAGAAGGTATGCCATTAAAAGTAAGCCGACGGACCAACCCATTCTCTACGCCGTTCAGGACAACGGATTTTGGTCACGTGAATTTAAATCTAAATATAATATGACGATACGGGTAATAAACGCCGCGAAGACCGATCTCATGATCGTGTCCAGGGCAAAACATCACGATTGTTGCGAGGGACCAAAACTGGACGTCTTCGTTCCACCCGGAAACAAGATTGGCTGGATTAGGTACCACCAGGGCTGTTGTTGGGATCACCTGGAGATCCACGATCCCAAGGGCCCCCTAATGTACAAGGTCATACCTTTAAGCGCTTGGAAGGACAACAAATTCAAAGTGAGTTACCTTCCATTTCTCTGAGACTTGATAAGTCATGTATCCTTGGTTTTTCGCAGGTTGAGGATTCCAATAAAAAAGTTGTTGGCAAAATTATAAAAATGTATGCCGGATTCTTTCAAGAAGCGTTTACAGGAGCAGACAACTTCAAAGTTGAGTTTAAGGATGCGAATATTCGCAGCAAGGCGCTTTTTCTGGCCACCGTATTTTTCATAGTGAGTTTCTAGCTAAAGCATTTATGCATTATCTTAAACATTAAATTACCGAACTCTTTTAGGATGCTCTTTACCATGAAGGATATAAAATGCCGATCGTGGTACCTCACCATCATGAATAAATTGTTCTAAATTCTATATGTGTACACTTCTATAATATTTACGTATGACTTTCGGCCCCTGAAATTATACAATTTTTTAAATTTAAGAGTCTTCTGCGTTCTAGTTGAGCATTTAAATATATTATCAAAGTATCAATTCTTAAAGCATACAAATATTCAAAATTTCTGGGTTTTCAATTTTTTTTATCAACAACCTTTGACGAAAATTTCAAAAGGTGTTTTCGCGCTCAGTTTTATTTTATTCTATATCTTTCCATTTCTCATCAATGAATTCCGCATTTATTAAATAAAATAAGGTTATATGTCCAAGAACACAAATTTTCGGGATGGAGACTTTGGGACTGGACTGTTTGGTTCACTTAGATAGTATTATGATTTATCAGAAAGTTGACTATCTACAGGTTTTCTCAGGATTTTGTAGTAACAGAAGGTATGAAATTAAGAGTACGCCGACGGACGAACCCCTTCTCTACGCCGTTCAGGACAACGGATTTTGGTCACGAGCATTTAAGCCGAAATATAATATGACAATACGGGTAATGAACGCCGCGAAGACTGATCTCATGATCGTGTCCAGGGCCAAACAACACGATTGTTGCGAGGGACCAAAACTGGACGTTTTCGTCCCGCCCGAAAACAAGATTGCTTGGATAAGGTACCACTACGGCTGTTGGCGGGATCACATGGAGATCAACGATCCCAAGGGCGCCCTAATGTACAAGGTCGTACCTTCACGGAAAAACAACAAATTCAAAGTGAGTTGCCTTCCATTTCTCTGAGACTTGATAAGTCATTTATCCTTGGCTTTCGCAGGTTGAGGATTCCAATCAAAAAGTTGTAGGAAAAATTCTAAAAAAAAATGCTGGATTCTTTCAAGAAAAGTTTACAGAAGCAGACAATTTTGAAGTCGAGTTTAAAGATGAAAATATCGGCACCAAGGCGCTTCTTCTGGCCACCGTATTTTTCATAGTGAGTTCTTAACTAGAGTTTTTATACATTATCTTTAATCTTGAGTACTCGAACACTTTTAGGATGCTCTTTATCATGAACGATATGGATGGAACCCGACTTGGATTAGGAACTGTCCTTAAATAGTACGTTTTCTAAATTCTATATGTGTACACATCTATAAATTTCCCATATGATTATGATGATATGTATTTAAAAATATTATCAATCTATAAATTCTTAAGCATGCAAATATTCGTATTTTTTGTTTTTCAAGATACTTAATCAACAACCTTTGACGAAAATTTCAAAAGATGTTTTCGTGCTCAGTTTTATTTTATTCCATATCTTTCCCTTTTCACATCAATAAGCTCCGTATTTATTAATTAAAATAAGTTTGTATCTCCGAGAACACAAATTTTCGCGATGGAGACACTGGGACTCGACTGTTTGGTCCACTTAGATAGTATTATGATTTATCAGAATGTTGACTATCTGGATGTTTTCGTAGGATTTAGTAGTAACAGAAGGTATGCCATTAAAAGTAAGCCGACGGACCAACCCATTCTCTACGCCGTTCAGGACAACGTATTTTGGTCACGTGAATTTAAATCTAAATATAATATGACGATACGGGTAATAAACGCCGCGAAGACCGATCTCATGATCGTGTCCAGGGCAAAACATCACGATTGTTGCGAGGGACCAAAACTGGACGTCTTCGTTCCACCCGGAAACAAGATTGGCTGGATTAGGTACCACCAGGGCTTTTGGCGGGATCACCTGGAGATCCACGATCCCAAGGGCGTCCTAATGTACAAGGTCATACCTTTAAGCGTTTGGAAGGACAATAAATTCAAAGTGAGTTATCTTTCATTTCTCTGAGACTTGATAGGTCATGTATATTTTTTTTGTCGCAGGTTGTGGATTCCAATCAAAAAGTTGTAGGTAAAATTCTAAAAAAATGCGCTGGATTCTTTCAAGAAGCGTTTACAGAAGCAGACAACTTCAACGTTGAGTTTAAGGATGCGAATATCCGCACCAAGGCGCTTCTTCTGGCCGCCGTATTTTTCATAGTGAGTTTCTAGCTAAAGCATTTATGCATAAACTTAAACCTTAAATTATCGAACTCTTTTAGGATGCTCTTTACCATGAAGGATCACGAAGAAAACCTTATTAATAAGCAGTAAAAAATAATTTTCTAAATTCTGTATGTGTATTCACCTTTAAATTTTACATATGATATTCTGCTCCGAGAAATTATAGCATTTTTAAAATTTAAGGGTGTTGTGTGTTTGAGTTGAGTTTTTAAAAGTATTAACAAGGTATCAATTCTTAAAGCGTGTGTGTATTATATATCCATAAATTTTAACGTTTGATTTTCTGCTCCGGGAAATAATACAATTTTTAAAGTATACGGTTCTTCTTCGTTTGGGCTTTGAGTTTCTAATAAAATTGCAAACAAACCTGAAAATTTGAATGTGTATATATATAGACCCGAAAGCGTTAGTTTGTATTAATAAAGTTAAGTTACAATGACGCCATCAGAAGAATTCTATTCGATTGAACTGCGACCATCACTAACTCATCATCTGATTTCGGTTAATGGAAGTGGAAACCGGCTCCTCGTAAGAACCGAAACGGGTTTGCTCTGATTAAAAATAAACACAAATTAATGCATTGCACTCCGCTCAAAGTGAACGTTTAAGTTTAGTTGCAAAAATGCAGGCGATGCGAATTTTGATCGCACTGCTTCTATCGGGAGTGTTTGCAAAGGATCTGCAGGAGTGCGAGGATCTGGGAAGAGGAAGTTTTCTTTGTCGGGAAATTGAGAGTTTCGAGCAACTGAGTCGATATGTGGGAGAAAAGTGGAAAAGTGTAAAGGTGGTCAATGAGCACACTGGTATTGAAAGTGCCGATGAGGGGGAATTACCGGGACTCTCGAGGCTTTTGCATTTGGATCTATCCGAATCTGGGGGCGTGACTCTGGGCGAAAGGGGTCTGCGGGACTTTGAGGCCCTGCAGGATCTCAATCTCACCCACTGCCAACTGGAGGAGATGCAGGTCCAGCACTTTCCCAACAAATCGCAACTGGTAAACTTAGATGTGAGCTTCAATGACATTCAGATTGTCACTGGCAAGCTGATGAGTGGATTGGCAAACTTGGAGTATGCGAATTTCTCCAACAACCTGATAGCGCAAATAGAGCCCAATGCCTTTAGGGATCTGAAAAAGTTGGTATTTCTGGACCTGACCACCAACGAGCAGGAGAACGTGACGCTGGGCGAGAATGCAAACCTGCGTTATCTGTCCATAAGCAACAATAATGTGCGGGATGTAGGTGTTTTACATACCAATATGTTATTTCTTTAGAAGTCTGATATAACCCCTTAATATCCCTTAGTTCCAATGGTGTCGCTTGCGGGGATTGCCTAGTTTGGAGGAACTGCACCTGCACAGCAATTGGCTGGAGAGTCTGGACATGGGAATATTCTATGCTCTGCCCAATCTTCGAGTCCTAAACGTGTCCAACAATAATTTATATGAGCTTAAGCGAACTCTCTTCATGGCTCCCGGAGAAATAGCTCCATTAGAGCTTCTTGATTACAGCTCGAATAATGTAAAGGTATTGGATGATTCCATTTTCTGCAGGTTGGGTAAGCTAAGGACCCTCAATCTGTGGCTCAACCAGATCAACAGGATCCATCCGAGAGCCTTTGTGGGTCTGAGTTCCTTGCAATCCCTTCAGCTGCAGGGAAACAAGATCCCGATTCTTCCCGAGGAAGTCTTTGCCAATCTCACAGCTTTGGAGCGATTAGATTTGAGTAGGAATAATATCAAAAAGTTGGGTTTCGGGGTGTTTGGAGCAAGTATTCTTCGCAGCCTAACTTATCTGGATTTGAGCAACAACTACATTGCGGATCTGCATCCTCTGGCCCTTTCCTCGCTGCCTTTCATCAAGGAACTCCGGCTGAGGAGGAACAAGCTGATCAGCCTGGATCTTCGGATGTTTGCACCCTTGCGGCGTTTGCAGTGGCTCACGATTGGCGAGAATCGTCTGGAGGAGATCGATGAGGAAATTCTGGACACCTTCGAACGACTCACTCACCTGGAGATCAACAACAATAGACTCACCTTTTTGCCCGATCTCAAGTCAGAGTCGAGGCAGGGTCTTCGGCAATTGCAGCACATCAGTCTGGAGGGAAATCCCTGGCAGTGTCTGTGTCTGGACGAGATCACCTCCTGGTTGAATGGCCACCAGGTGGCCTACGCTCGTCCCAGCAGCGCCTATTTCAGTGGAAGGAAGCCCCTCTGCGTGGTCACGCCCATGGATAAGTGTCTGCGGATCCTCGACGAAGTGAGGGCCCAAGGAATCGTCGAAAGCTATGAGAAGATTTAAGATTTATAACCTCCTTAAACTACAATTTAATTTCTGAAATAATTGTGTTAAGATAAACAGAACAATACTGCCTTAAAAATATCGTTTTTTACCTTATTTATGATATAAATATAATTCAATACACATTTATATGATTCACCGTATGGTAATATTTTATTTTGACGTGATGACTACTTAAATCTGTTTTAATGTAAATTTTATATTTTTTCTTTAAATTTAACTTATTTTTTTGCGGTATATGATGGTAGAATATTTGTTCGATTCCTGATTTTACAACGCATTTTTCTCTTTAGTGGAGAAGCAATACTATTTATAAATAATTGTCAAACGATAAACAAAACAAGAAAGTAAGCTACCTTCGGCCAGCCGAAGCTTATATACCAATTAATTTTTGCTTTTACAAAAAAGATATGCTTACATCGGTGCAGTAAAATCCAGGGATTCCTAGATTCAGCGTATTCTATTTATTTAAATATTGTTTTTAAGTAGTCAAGAATCAAACGCCTACTTCCTACAAAGTTACAATGAATTTTCTTATCATTTGTTTGAATATTTCCTAATTTTGGGTAGCCCCTTTAAGTCCATATAGTGGTCCGATCCGGCTCTCTCCGACATATGTACTACGTACAATAGAAAGAAGACTTTCGAGATAAGTTTCATTTCTGCGATAATTGCTTTAGTAAACTGAGAGACTAGTTCAGCATAGAATACGGACAGACGGACAGAACGGTCATACAGACAGACGGACAGACGGACATGGCTAGATAGACTCGGCTATTGGTGCTGATCAAGAATATATATACTTCATGTGGTCGGAAACGTCTCCTTCACTGCGTTGCAAACATCTGAGTGAAATTATAATACCCTCTACAAGGGTATAAAAATTGGCGCCTTTATAATAACTATTGTAACCGTATGGTTTTATTTGATTTTGACTTAATTCTTACATAAATCGGTTTCAATGTGAGTTTTAATTTTTTTTTGGTTTACATTAAGTACATATATTTCCTATATATCATAGGAGAATATTCATTCGATTTCTGATTTTAAAACGCATTTGTCTAGCCAGTGGAATGGCAATAAATCAATATCCACTAAATGCTGGTCTGCAGTTTCTGTTGTGGGTTCCGCTTCGCTCCGCTGACTGACTGGACTGGACTAAACGGGACGTCCGCCGCAGGATCCTTGGAGAAGCCTCCGTAAATCACAGACAATTGGATGACCATGAGAGCAAAACTTTTAGCTAGCCAAAGTATTTGGCCAACTGTCGTAAAACAATAAAACGGAAGGCATGCGATGGGGGGAAGACTGGGAATGGGGGGTTGGAAAACCGAAGCAGAGATTTTCAAATACTTAACACCACTTAGGCGAACAGTTGGACAACGACAATGACGGAGGATTGGGAATTCCGAGTGGCGAAGGTGGGGATTTGATTGTTGAGCGTAATTTAGCGCAAGAATTTTTATTAAAATTTCCAATTCTGCAAACAGATAAACTTTTTCTGCTGGCCGCAATGAATTGACTGATTGATGGATGGGCAGGGGCTAGTAAATGAGATAAGTTTTGAAATGAGTTGGGAAACCTTAAGACAATGGGGTGATGATGAGCGACTTATGAATGGGTTGGTAAGGTTAGTTTTCCCCTTACAGAATAGTACAAGACATGGAAACTTGGCTCTGCTTCCCATTTGCATTCAACTATATGAATAGGCCGCAGGGTCAGGCCAAGTCGAGTATTCCAGGTATTCAAACGGGCAACAAAAGGACAATGGACCCGGGAAGTTGGCAACCAGGACATGTGCAGTCAATGCGCAATTACGGGCATAAAGGGCGTAACACGGCGTATCCTTGCTCAACAGCTGCCATAAAAGTTTTACTCCGAGGAGAGGACTTAAAGCGACTCGACTCGACTCTGCGACCAGTAATTAAATTAAATTTTCGGTTTCACATTCGCCAGATGAATTAAGTGCCCTGTCAAAGGTGAAAGGTGAGGGCTTCATCGAGACCTTCGTGTGGCAAGCAAAAGGAGTCCTGCGGACAGGAGCCGTTCAATTAATTTGGCAACAAACTTTGCTCGGGCTGTTGTTTGCCCAATTTGATAACTGAAATTTCAGGTTGGCCGGAGTTGCGTTCGTGACAAAAACCTGTTGCTCCCTCCCCGGGGAAATTCCCGGGGCCAACGAGTCCTGAACCCTTGTCAAAAACCTGAAATGAAGCTCCGCCGAGGTGTCAAAGACATGCTGGCCATCAATTTACCCCTTGGATCACCGACCCTCTTCCCCCTATCGACCGACCTAATATTCTCTAAAATAAATTCAAAAATTCAAATTCTCTGCACATCCGCTAGGTGGTTTTTGCATATTTTTTTAATTCCGGTTCGAGTGGCCACTGCACTGGCTTTCACATTCACATTCACATTTTGTTTGGTTAATTACGTTCACGGATAATTGCATTTCTGCGGCTTAAATGGCCGCAAAATCTGTTAACAAAATATTTGCCAAAACATTTTTGCACAATTAGCCCGGTCATTGTGTGTTTTATTCGGCCAGTCCGTGTGGCCTATTCATTATGCGCATTATTGCCCCCAAAAAAGGCGGAACTGGATTGCACTTTAAATTACAAACATTGGCAAATTGGCATTCCTGCGGTCGCCTGCTCTATTTTAACTATCTCTGTCGGCGTCCTTGATGGACAGCCAGTGCTTCTCCTGCTTCGGCAGAGGAGCCGCCCAGGCGAACTTGAAGGATCGTCGCACCTTGGTACTCGATCTCCGGGGCCTGCTCACCTGGCTGTTCTGCTCCAGCAGCAGCGAAAGCTCAGAGAGCGATGGCAGAAGCTGGTGTCCGTCCTTTTCCGAGGTTAGTGCCTCCTCCAATTTCTGGGTGTACTTTATCAGATGGTCGTTGCATTGCAGAAGCAACTTGCGGGTCCTACTCAAGGCGCTCTGCAATTCGGTGTAGTCTTTCTTGTAGCAAATAATGGGGACCTAAGGGTGGGATTATTGTAAGTGCATTAGTGAAAGATTTAATTTTATGGAACTTTTAATTTCGTAGGCTTTTTGATTATTGTTTTTTAAGTAATACGCCTTAAAAAAAATATAAAATATTTTACCCCTTTTAAATAAGTTTCCGCAATACCAATAAAATATATTTTAATGAAATTTAAAATTATACCCACTTTTGAGGCAAAGCAGAACTTCATGTTGGTTTGGGTGCGTCGCACGTAGTTATCGCTGTACTCGAGGTAGTTGCCCCGGGAAATGTCCAGGTCGCTGTACCGCTCCAAACACAATCCCGTGTGGTGTTTCAGCTCCTCCTGCCATTTGGGCACCTCGAGCAGCCTTTTGGCCAACTTCCTGGTGCTTCGAATGTTCCGCTGCACCTTTTCGTCCAGTCTGGTCAGTGTGTCCTTGGACTCCTTGAGTCGGCGACCCACTTCGTTGATCTGCTGGTAAGCTCGAGCGGTTTCCTGTTGTACTTCCCTCAGCTCGACATTATCCGATCCGCTCTGCTCGATCTCCTCCTGAAACTGGTCAGAGTCTGGAGGGCATTCGGTTTCATTCGTCTGCAAAGGGCGAATTAAAAGACCCCTCAAATACAACGCCCGCTGCTTCATCTTCTCCAGCTTCTCGAAGGCCTTCGTCAGTTCCAAGTCCGAGCCAGAGTTCTCTTCCTGAATCGGAATGTCATCCAGGGCGGAGATGCTGCAGTGGGTCACCTCCGTGCCACTCCCGAGTTCCAACAGTCCAGGAGCCTTGCAGTCCATCTTTGTGTTCTTTGCTACTTTGTTTATCCTGTGTTATGTTCAGTGTATTGAGAGTGTGAAAATTGAGAATGAGAAATATTAAGAAAATGTCAGTAAAGTCAGAAATCAAAATCTACACAGAAAAAAAGTTTACCAAGTAGGTAAACAAATGTGTGATTAATCTACTAGAAATAATTTAGGTTCACTTACAAAACTTTGGTTTTTAAATTTTATATTTTAACAATTTCATTTTTAGTAAAACTCGTTTTTTTGTAAATAGGTTATTAATAAAATAGTAAAAAATAGCATAATTTACGTTTTAATGACACATTTTTATGTCTCCTAAATTTATCCCCCTTTTAAAATTCAAAAGAAAAGAATAAATTTCTTATTACCAGGTTGTAAGGATCTCTTGTTCTCACTTCTGGCATTTTCGCCTTCGGCGTTTTAATGAAAATGCCTGGCTGGAGAGCCACAAACTATGCAGCTGCAACAATGCTGCATGCAGATGGTGCTTCCCCTTTCGAAAGAGGGCACACACCTCAAATTTGGCCCGAAGGCTCGGAAATTCCCAACTGCTAATGATTTTTAATAGCCAAATTGCAAGAGCAAGTCTGTGGGCTAGATGCTGCACCAGGTCACCGGTGCCTTCGTCCTGGAAATGCCTCTTAAAAGCGTATTTGTGGTTGGGCTCCTGACTCACACAAACTCGCTCACTTTCGATGCGGTCAATAAAGTATGCAAAGTGGTGGCGGTTGGTGGGTGGTGGGCGGTGGCTGTAGTGACCAGGCTGACCTTAAAAACAAATTAGTGGCGCTTACTCAACAAGATTGAGTGGCTCGTGTATCGCTGTCATCGGCATCGTCATCGCTGCTATTCTGTTTTCGGCCAGAGGCGAAATCAGAAGGGGTTGTATATATTATCTCTAAATTTATGACCTTTTGTTTCTCATTTTATAAGACATATTAATATATTCACTATAGATTTATTGAAAATATTTTACAGACAAATAATTTTCCAACGAAGAATTCCTAATGGGACTTCGTTGTGTGACAAATATATCATTTGAAATCTATTAGTTTATTGATTTTCTTCAGACTGAAAAATGTAAAGCATTTAATATTGCCAGTATATTTTGATTTTTGGATAAGCCGTTTTATGTGTTTACCAACAAATTAGAATATTAGAGCTTCTATTATTATATTATATTACATTTCGTGCATACATTTAGTCAGTTATCCCTTTGAGTCATATTTTCTCCGCCACTGGCCCTCGACTACGCACTCGGCAGGAAAAGCGAAAAAGGAGGAAAAAATCTGAACTTAATTAATGAAAGAGCCTGCGGCCATTGCTCCTTGGTCCTGTGACCGCCTCCTGAACACTGAATCCTGCTCCCGAATCCTGCTGACAGGATGCATCTATTTATAGGGCCCTGATATTATGTGATGAATATTCATGCGGACCACTCCGATGACGCTGCAAATCAACAGTCGAGCATAATTTTTGTTAATAAAAGCGTGTAATAATTTGCCGCCAGCGGAAAACACGAAGCGGGGGTGGAAGGGGGAAAATGCCCAGCATGTGTTGCAAATGAAATTATGTAAATGTGACAGCAACAGCGGCAACAGCAGAGATGTATCTGCAACTGAATTTTGTATCTTTTTGGGGCTTCGGGCGGCGGTGGCGGTTGACCCAGGAATACAATGAAATTCGGAGGGGAATTTTCGGGGGGTGAGGCATGCAGACCACAGACCCTGCCAAAACATGGCTTAATGTTGATTAGATGCATTAAACATGCAAAAGCCCACGACCAGCAGTTGTTGCTTTTGTTATTGCTGCTGTTATTTCTGGGCCAAACAATAAACGGCAGCATAAAATAGATATGTATGTGCATTGCGTATTTACTGGGCTTTCAGGTTTTCTGGGGGAAATGAAATTAGTGCAACCTTTTAACTTTTGCGCGGCAATTGAATAACTTTAATTGGTAATAAAGCTAAGCCCACATGGAGCCGGAAATTGCGAAATTGCAGCTGGCAAAGCCAATAGTCCTGTAGTCCGATAGCCAATTGCCAATCACCGCTTCAAAGGGGCAACTATCCGCATTTTTCCCCTTTTGATTTTCTGCCCCCTTTGGCCGCAAGCTGTTTACGATCCTGCCAACTTTAATAGTAAATAACAACAATAACAAGCGCCGCAGGAGCAGCTGCGCAAAGTTTCAGAACAATACAATCAAAAAAAAAAAGAAAATACAGGGAAAAGCAGCAGCAGCATCAGGAGAAAAACCAGAGAAAAGAAAAGTTGGAAAACACTTTACTTTGATGACCGTCCAAGTCTTTTGCTCTCGAAGTTGTCGCCATGGTTGCCATTCAAATGGCTCGCTTAATTTTACCCTCACCGCGGGGATTGTGGCAACTTTTTAATGACTCCCGGACATATTGTCCTGTTCGTCCAGGTTGTCATTTCATCTTCGAAAGGGGAATGTATCGCTTGGCCGGCTGACAGGTTCAGTGTGAAAGGATCCACTTCCCGGGAAGTACTTGTTGTGGAATTTCGAAAAGGTGCAAAAGCTCCTTGGAATTTCGTTTTGGCTTAAAAAGTTTGAATTCCTGGAAATCGTTAGAATAAATTAAAAGGTAGATGGGCTTACTGGGAGTATCAGGAATTTATTTAAACGGGATACTTAAGAAGGCAATTAATGATTTGTAATTTTTGCGTGTGCTAAGTAGGATTAATCAAATAAAAACACCTCTTAACGAGGTAAAAAACTAGTGACGACCGCACCTTCAACATACAAAAGTTCTGATATCAACATTTGTGACGAAAAATTATTACACTCGTCATTAAATAGACTTTCTAATATTTTCTCATTCGGCCCGCCCTAGCAAACTATTCCAGCCTTTTTCCCTTTACAGGCATTTTCTATTGCAGCGTGACGAATGAGAAAAGATTAGAAAGTCAATTTAATGACGAGTGTAATAATTTTTCGTCACAAATGTTGATATCAGAACTTTTGTATGTTGAAGGTGCGGTCGTCACTAGTTTTTTACCTCGTTAAGAGGTGTTTTTATTTGATATCAGAAGTTTTTGTTTGTTTACATTTGCTCTCATAGGAGCTAATATATACATTTAAATTTAAATTGGTCAATCATAATTTTTAAACTATTGTATTTTAACAAATTAAGTTAAAAAGGCGTTGAAGTATTTCAAAATACCTTTTAAACGAGGTATAGCACATGTCTGTACCTTTAGTAGTGTAGAACTTACAAACTAACGAAATTTAGCTATTTTTAGCTTTTTCCCGCTAAAGTAGCGGCTTTTTCCAAAAGTCGTAGAACAAAAGATTCCTATATGGAACTCTTAAGTGCAAATTTACTGATTCCATGACCCTAAAATACAGTTCGGATACCTTCCCACAAAATTCAATACTCAGGGAGCGTTAATTGTTCGAGCTGGCAAAAGTGGCTATTTTCGTATAAAAATAACTTTTAAACGTGACTTTTTACAGTAATGTGTTATATACCAAAATTTAAGGAATCTCAAGGGCTATACAGTTTAAGGTTTTAAAGAAAATCGTTAGAGCCGTTTTTTGAGAAAAATAAAAAAAGCTAAAAAAAAAGTTTTAAAAAATTGTCTTTTGTTCATATTTATTTAATTATTACATTTACACAAATTGCATATAGAAGGCGTTTATAGCATTTAAAAATACCTTTCAAACGAGATGCAGCACAAGTCTGTAGCTTTAGTAGTATATAAGTTACGGATTTCCGAATTTTAGCTATTTATAGCTGTTTTCCCGCTAAACTAGCGAGTTTTTCCAAAAGTGGTAGAACAAAAGTTTTTCATATCGATGTGATGAACGTCATATCAAATTTTCAAAACTTAAAAAACATGTTTTGGACAAACTGACAAACTGACAAACAGAATTAAATTTTCATTTTGGGAAGACGAAGGAAATCTTATTTTGGCTATAACTTTTGAACGGAGCGTCGGATTTTGACAAATGACCCCTCATTCGACGGGTATTTTCAAAAGGAATACAACTAAAACATTTCGAGGGGGCATTTATCCCCACCGGCCCCAGCAGCTCCAAATTTCGAAATTTTCACTTTTTCCCTTTCACCGCTTATTAATTTTCTTAGAGTCTTGGTATGCAATCCTGTTAGTTTTCGCAATACCTTTCGATAGGTGTATCATTCATTATGATCGGACCATCACAGTAGATTTTCATTTCTTCGTGTATATATAGTAGTCGCCTTCGCACACTCTCCTGGTGCGCTTCGTCACTACATGGACTGCCGTCCATAGTGATAAGATTAATAAGACATTTGCTGAAACTTATCAATTAAAACATATTTTATATTACTCTATTTTACATGGAATTAAAGACTACCACATATTGAAATGCTCAATTTTTTGTAACATTAAATCTAATAAGTGTAATCAAACGAAACCTATTTTGAAACGTTATCCATAGCAACAATATGCTGTTTGAAAAAATTCTATAAAATAGTACTCAACATAATTAACATTTTATTAATAAAAAGTCTGTCTTTGATTTTTAGTTTTAACAATAAAAGGATTTCTATAATGTGCAAATCGGCTAAATAGGTAGTCAAACTAAATAAAAGATTTCAGTAGATCTTTAAAATAAATGTCTCGAATAATATTGTATTTCCCCTAGGAATAATTTGTATATGTTTTATAAGGGCATTAAACAGTCCCTGATGAGCCAGATGGACTGCATCCGTTTTACAGCCGATGGCTAGGCCAAATCATTATTGATTTCCTGACTGGGTTCCCCAATCGCGTTCGGCAGACTTATCTCGAAAAGGGTGAGCTGCGAGTGCCACTTGGGGCGCTTTGACAAAAACTTTCTTTTGTACATATTATTTATGCCCGGCTCCCTCGGGGGCTCAAGGAGCCTGGTTAAGGGGGTGGAGGGGCTAAGGGGGCCAGAGGTCCCCTCAATACAAGTTGCTCCTGTCACGGTTGTTATTGCTCTTTTATTTGTATTGGCTTTG